GGGGCAACACCAGGCTTCTGGCGGCTGGGTCTTCTTGAAAGGCCCCACAGCGAGGTAAGGGGGGGCCGCACCACCTTGTGCGTTCACCGTGCGCTTGTGCGCACCGCTTGAACAGCCGCATCAGCTGTCAAGCAACGGCGCCCTGCCCCTTTCAGACGGTCCTGGCGCGCCAAGCAAGCGGCGCGCTAAGCAGACGCCGCGGCCGGCCGCAGCAGCCTGCAGGCCGCTCGCCGAGCTCCTTCCAAACCCGCGCTGCTCCCAAGCGGCCGCTGCTCCCAGGCGCGCGCGCCTGTTGTGTTTGCTCTTGAAGCCCAGCCGGCTGAGCAGGTCGGTGCGGGGCTCCAGCAGGTGATAGTCAGCCCCCGGCTGCAGCATGATGATTTGGGGGGGGGGGGGGCGGGGAGACGTGAGCATGCCGTCGGGGGTGACGACCGGCTGAGCTGGCGCAAGGGGGCCAGTCAGGGCGGTCAGAGTTCTGAAGGGAAGGTGCTGCGTCGGCTATTGGTTCTAGGCCGTGGCGACACCTGGGTCGGCTCGGCGAGCCGCCTGTTGGTCCCGGGGAGGGCGAAAGTCGCAGCGGCGCTGCGAGAGCCCTCGCGCTTGCGGCGCGACACGCCTCATCCCTGGCTAAAGCCCCCTGAAAGAGCTGCACATGTGAATCATCCTCGTCTCAAATCTTGCAACACCAACCGCGCATATAAGGCAGCGCATGTCATCGGGCCACTCCGGCCCTGCGCTCACCTTGGTTTTCCGCGACATTATATATCAGTTGCGCTGGCTGCACTCTGTTATCTCGCCCGCCTTGAGCCACGACACTTGCGATCTTGCGCGGGTACGGCATGCACAGGTGTATGCGCGGAACAGCTGCAGGTGGCACGAAAAACAAACACGAAAGGACACCGTGTGCAAGTGGGACACCTGCTTGCAAACGCTTCTCGCGCCAGGTCCTGGCCGGCGCTGGGCTCCGTACGCCCCGACGCAGCCGAGCCCACACGGACCCCCTGCACCGACACGCCATTTCTCTGCTATCACATAGACATCATCGTTACAGGTTGCAGTAACACGCAGCGTCCACTCCAGCGACCCAGCGTACGCCGATGAGCGGGTCACCCAAGCGCCATGTTCCCAGCGCCCCCCGCAGCTGTCGCCGCCATTTTCGAATCCCGCACCCCAAGCTCCAGGTGCGCCGCCACCGCCCCCCTCAGCGC